GCGCCGGCTGCGCCGCGCGGTCAAGGGCGGGCCCACGTGCCCGCGGCTCCTGCGTGGCTGGCGGGGCCCAGCGCCCGCGCCCACCCCCGGCCGTGCCGCAGAGGCGAGCGGGGCGCGCAGGAGCCACGCCCTCTGCGGCCGTGTGCGGGGCGCCCTCGGGCAGGGCCGCCCCCAAGCGGTCGGGCCACCCGGAAGGCGCTGCCGCCGTGCACGCGGGGGGGGGGGGCAGCCGCCCCCGCGCCCCCCGGAACACAGAGACGCCCCCCCCGTGCTCCTTGCTGGGGTTTGCGGGGGAGGTGGAGGGCCCCCCCAGGAGCAGGCATCGGGGGCTCCCGGGCGGGTCGCTTGGCGGCCATCGTCCCTCGGTGGCTGGTGGCCAAGCCCTGCAGAAGGGCACGCGCCGCATGGGGGGGGGGATTGCCTTCCGTACGTGCCCCTCCCCAGCCGAGTGAAAGGCCTTTTGTGCCCCGGCTGGGGCGGATTCCAGCGCAGCTCCGAGGCAACACTCGTTGTCCAGGGTGCCGCCCACTCGGCCGGCGGCAGCTGTGGAGCCCGCTCGCCTGGCTGTGCCCAGGCCTTGGCGTGCCTCCCCGGTGCGGCCCAGCAACTCGGTTCCCACCTCGGCCAGAACCAGCAAGGTCCGGGGAGTGGTCTGCATGTGCAGGGCAGCTGCCTGGCGTCCTGCTGACCAACCCGCCTCGGCCGCTGGTGAGCCCGCAGGCAGCTGTCCTGGCACTGCCCGCCTGTCCTGGCCCTGTTCCCCCAGGCTGTCCCAGCCCAGTTCTGGGCACCTGGGTCAGGGCAGGCCGAAGCAGTGCTGTGTAGGGAGGCCTTGCGGGACCTTCGGCGGTGATGGGGATGTGGGGAGAGTACCTCTGGGCCTATGCTGAAGGCTTCCCCGCCACCACCATATCGTGACCACCTGCTTCCTGGAGCCCCGCAGAAATGAGCCGTTAAGGGACTCCATACAGCTGTGGCAGATGTGGCCAATTTCCACACCTGCACCAGCGCTCAGGAATAGCTGGGAATGGGGCGCTTCCCCAGACCCTTCCTGGGCGGGTGCAGCCTAGTGCAGGCTTAGGGTCCTACCCCCCCCGCCCCATGGCCATGCCGGGCCTCTCCCCCTAAACATGCACTCCGGGCCCGGGGGAGCAACGGGTGGGCACAGTGGCAGCCTCTGGGACCAGCGGGCAGGATGAGACCTCAGTGTCGTCGCTGCCCAGCCAGCTTTGCTAGCGGCACCACCGGCTGCGGCTGCAGGACGGGCAGGAAAGGGAGCCGGGGCCGGGGCGAAGTGCAGCGTGCTGGAGCAGAGCGCCCAGTGCCGCACGCGAGCCGACGGGTGCTGAGCAGGTGGGGACGGAGCCACCAACCTTCCTGGGGCCGTTCAGGCCCAGGGCTGATCCTGGGTGCAGCTAATGCGGGTCATTTTGCACTGGAAGGCGCCCTGCCCGTCCGGGGAGCCAGTGGCGCGAGCCTGGAGCGCAGCCGCCCTGTGAGTGCCCGTGTGTGTATAGGCGCGGGAGGCGCTGTGGGAATCGGCAGCTGCCGGTCGTGGGCTGGAGGGCCGGCTCAGCCCGTGCGCCCCGGATCTCTGCACTGCCCTTCCCAGCAAAAGAGCACACCCCGTCCTTCGAGCAGCCCCCCACCCCTGCCGGCCCGGCCTCGCCTGGGGACCGGGGGAGCACCTGCGTCACGAGGCCCTGCACCTGCCCACTGCACTCCTGCGAGAAATGGAGCCCCCCAGGCCGGGGGCGGGGGGAAGCACTGGCAGCGGCAGAGCAGCGGGGGGCAGGGCGGGGGGGCTGCTTCACCCGCTGTGGCAGGCGGGGGGGGCACCGGATTAAGGGATCCGAGGGGCTCCGCTTGGCTGCCTCTCCCTTATTAAGCCCCAGTTTTAATAAGCGCCCAGCCAAGGGAGACAAGGTTGGAGCTGCGGCTACGTGCCGGCCGTGCAGAGCTGCCGTGCGCCGAGAGGGGGCCCTTGGCTTGCGTCGCCGGGGGGAGCAGGTTCCGCAATGGGGGTGCAAAAGGCATGAGCCGGGGGGGCCTTCAGGGAAGCCTGGGGGGGGGGCGGGGGGACGGGGGGGGGGGGGGCGGGCGGGCCTGAGGCACCCCAGCGGGACGTTCTCGTGCGCGGCCCCCACAGTGGGGGGCAGCCCGCACATCACATCCCCTGCCCGCCTGTGGGGCTTGTGGAAGGGGGCAGTCCTCCCCCGGCGCGTCAGCCCGCTTCGGCTTTCTTTGCCCCCGCCTTCCTTGCTGCCCCACGAACCATTAAACTGAGTTGTGGGCGGGGAGGAACCTTTAGACCCGTCCAGAGCACCCCACAAGCTGCCCCCTGGGGACCGACTGGAGGCCCCGGGAGGCTGGAAGAGCAGCAGCACAGAGAGGGTGCCACTGAGTGTGTGCAGAATGCCTTGGGCGGGGCGGGCATTCACCGCTGGGGCTGGTGCGCAGGAGCTGCCCGGTCAGGAGTCTCGGACACTGGGGATGGGGGCAGCGCAAGGGGCGGGCGGCCCCCCCCCCAGCAGTCGGTCCCAGGGCCAGGTGCTCCGCCTCTG